GCCTGAACAGGGACGAGAGAGGTGAGGAAGAACAGACTCCCCCCAGAGGACTGTGCAGAAATAAAGTGGGAGCTCACCTGGGATGCACGGCTGTATCAGGCTTGAATACAGCAAGAGAGATGAAGCCAAGGGGAGGACGCCCTCACTGTTAGAAGGAAGCGGCTGTGCCACTATTCACACAAGAGCCCCATGGAGGCCCCAGCAGAGTCCAAACCCCTGGGGCCCTGCGTCCTGGGTGCTCCTCCTGTCATTCAGCCTCCACTGTGCCAAGGCCTGGGCCTGAGAACGAGGGTGGGGTCCACGCAGGTTCAGGTAGGAGAGCACAACCTCCACACGTTACAGGCGAGGGGAGAGTGAACATCTACTGAGCTATCGCTATGTCTCGGGCACAGTTATAAATTGACTTACTACTCTGAGGTAGGTACCATCCATGTTTGCTTTTAGGGAAACTAAGGCACAGAAAAGTTAGAGACCTTGTCAAAGGCCACACAGCCAGGCAGGAGTATAGCTGGCCTTTGCCCCAAGCAGTCTGGGTGCAGGCCCCGCTATTAACTACTGTGCTACCATGTGTCCCGATGGTGCAGAAGGCTGGCGTACGAAGAATGGTGATGTCAACAGTCTACAGCAGGCCGTAGATGACTGGTTCCCATAGAAGAGTGACAGGAAGATGCTCAGGGCAGGAGAGAACTAGTGTGCACTCCAGGGCCTAGTGCCTAAGATAGAGCAGTTCTCTCTGGCAGCTTCATCGCTAATGTTGCCCTCAAGGTCAGGAGGTCCTTCAAGGTCAGAAGGTCCTTCCCAATCTGTCCTCCCTCTTCCTCATTCACTCTGCCTCTGCCCAGTGGCCTCCTTGTAGATCCTCAAAGCTGTCCAGCCTACTCCCACCTCAGGGCCTAGGCACCTGCTGTTTGCACTTGTTACCTGCCCCTAGAAAGGCTCATGGCTCAACCGCAGAGAGAAGGTCTCTGGCCACTGGAAGCAAAACCATACCTTTCCCTGCCCCCCACAGGTCCCGCTCTATCCCTTTCACTTGGCTTTATTTTTCTTTATGGCACATGATGGATAATCTGTATTTGGTTCCTGTCTGTACATTTTCTCATAGCCCCCAATATTTGAGCTCCGTAAGAATGAGAAGGACTTTTAAAGTATCATTTTCTTTTGCCCCAGTGTGTAGAACAGTCCCTAACACACACAGGCATCCCATAACTATCTGTTCAGTGAATGAAGGGCCTGGACTTCCAACCTGTCTTCCACAAGATGATGTCCTTCCACACAGTGGGCGTGGGGTCCTTGTTCTAACCACCACCAGCCTCCTGACACACCACAGGCCCTGGAGCTCTGGGAGCAAAACTGTGTGTCTCCACTGGCCAGAGAAGTCTTCTCCGCATCTTTAGGGAAAGAAAGACTCAAAACAACCCACTGTGAGAACCCCACTACCCCAAGTCAGCTCTCTCCCCTTCTATTTGGAAAAACTCAAAACCTTGACCCTGGAACTTCCCAAGGTCTGTAACCAGTGGCCGGCAGATCTGCGACAGATGAGGCGGTACAACTTAGCCCAGCTACCGAGCACCCAGACCCAGATGCTGTTCTCTTCCCTTCCCAAGCGTCAGGGACCCTTGCTCAGAGCCAGGGCCCGCACCCCTGCACTGAGCCAGGCCTTGCTGGCTCCACCAGGCAAGCGCTGGGTCCGATTCTGGATAATGAGTTATGACTGAGCATCAAGGGTGGCCCTGGGGCCACGTCTCTTTCATCACGGACGCAGAACAGCTCCACCGTCCCAGAAAGCACAGCTGCACACGACGGTCAGCACAGGGGTCACGGAGAGCTTTAGAAAAGAACCCATCACACAGGTTGAGAGGGGAGGCCGACAGCCTGGGTGCACCTGCGCCGGGAGAGGTCCCTACGGCAGAGACCTTTAGTGGAGAGGGTGTGTGTGGACACGTGCCTGGGGTGGGGGCTGGTCTGCAGCCACGGGGGAGGGGGGTGGGGAGGGGTCCTGCCCTCAGGGAGACCCAGTGTCTCCCAGCCCAAGGCAGTGTAGCCCCGTGGCCAGACAATGAATGTGGTCAGTGGTAGGAAGCCCAGGGTTTTCCAGGCCGCCAGCTCCAATAAAGCACTGGCTGACAGATATACCAAACCCATTAATTAACATCCACCCGCAGTCAGCTCCCCACGGTGCTCTGACTGTCTCATCAATCTTGTTCAGGGCACAGCAGCCTCCAGACAAGCCTGAGAGGAAACCAACTGTCTGGTTATTCAGTATTTGTTAAGATTGGACACGGTGCCTTTGATACATATTAAACCCTGACCAGACACAAAAGACGAAGGGGGGTGGTATAGAATAAAAGCTAGCCCCTCTCCCCACCCACTCCCCACGGCCTCCAGAATAGAAAGGTTTAGAAGACCCTGGAGAAGGAGGTCACTTTGCTTCCACTTTCTCTCTTCTTGGAGGGGGTGGACATTGCGCCTCACAAATCATCTGGGGCCTGTTCTCTCTCCTGTTCCCAGCTGGGGATTGGCTCACATTGTGGAGTCAGAGAAGGTGCTTTTCCTTCTCTGCCTCTGTGCCTGTTCTCCTCCTCCTTTCAGTGCCCCTGAATTGTCTTCTCTTGGCAGTTCCAAGTTCTCATTGTGTTTAAGAACTAGCTCAACACACTCCAGGAAACATTTTTGGGAGAAGAGGAAACCGCCCTCTTCTGCTACGCTGTGCCCAGGAACAGTTTCCTATCACAAACCCTTAGGACAGGGTTCCACACTGACATTTTTAGAGCGCTGAGTCCTCAAACCGCAGTGCCCAAGAGGAAGCAGGTAGGGAGGCTCGGTGGCTGAGGAGTCGAGGGCTCTCTGTGGCGTGGAGACAGGAGATACCCAGGTTTTTGTGGGTTCGTTGGGTGAAGACTTCCCACATGCTTCACCTCAATTAGGGACCCACGCAGGGAACTTGCTTTTATTTTTCTCCCGGGGTCACTGATCTCAAGGGTTTCCAGTTCTAATCCTGGCATCTTCTCTGCCTTTGGATTCCACTGCCTTGTTTTTTTGTCACAAGGAAGCGTCACCGTCCATCTGTTCCCAGAGTCAGTAGACACAAGGGAAGAATTCCACGGTTTGTGGGTTACAGGCTTATAGCTACATTGTAATGGGAAAATCCTAGTACCACATGCTTTCTCCCAAAGAATGAAGTCCACATCTGGCCTTGTGGTGGGTGCGCAGGCAGGTCTGCCTGGGTGACACGCTGGGGCCAGAAGCTCCCACTTTTCTTGGCTAGGCTGGCTGCCTGCTCCGGGAAGCCCCACGTGTCACTGTATTCATCACCCAATCTGCACATGGACCCCATCTCTGATGCTAGGGAAATCCCTGGGCCCGGGCAAAGCAGTAGCCAGTGGTCAGAAGTTCGGCCTGGGACAGGGAAACTGTGTTAGGCAAGCTCGCCAGTAGCTGGCCCAACCGCTCTCTGGGCTTGCATCTCACACGGCGGTCTGCGTGCTCCCCAGCCGGACCTGAGGGCTTGGGCCAGGGGAAGGTAACGGGGCAGAAGAAGAGGGACGTTCTACAGAGCAGGGTTGGGGTCCTTTCTTCTAGAGCCCCCAAATACCGTCTCATGGAGTTGGCCAGGTAAATGTCCAGAAGAATCCTGAGATATAATCTACACTTAAAAAAAAAAAACAAACAGCTGAAGGAACTAAGGCCGGTAAGCTTTCCCATGTGCACTTGGTAATGGCAGGACAGGGAGCAGAATCTGGCCATTTCAATGTCTACGCCAGAACACTTTCTGTGATGGCAGTTAGCCAGCTTTTCTTTTCTTTTTAAAGATTTTATTTGAGAGAGTGAGCACATGAGAGCGGGGGAAGGGCAGAGGGAGAGAATCTCAGGCAGACACTGCACTGAGCACAGAGCCTGACATGGGGCTTGATCTCCTGACCCCGAGATCATGATCTGAGCCAAAACCAAGAGTCAGACACTCAACCAAGTAAGGCCACCCAGGCACCTCTTGTCTGCTCTTTTTACGAAATATTTGAGAAAGAGAGAGAGAGCATATACAGGTCGGGGGACGGGCGGAGGGAAAGAATCTTCAAGCAAACTCCCCATTGAGAATGAAGCCCAGTGTGGGGCTGGATCCCATGACCCATGAGATCATGACCTGAGCTGAAACCAAGAGTGGGATGCTTAACTGACTGAGCCACCCAGGCGTCCCTGGCTCTAATTCTTAAACACTCAAAGTTATTCCGACATTAGAAACACTGAATCCCTCCCCTGTCCTTAGTTTCTCAAGCCCCATGACTGTCCAGTACCAGAGGCATGGAACAAGTAGGCAAGGTGCTATTTGGCCTGTGGGCTGTAGGTCACTGCAGAGACGCAGGAGCAGACAGCAGTGGCCTGAGTCCATGGGAGGCTCTCCGAAGGGCACGTGGCATTCCCTGGCTTGAACAGTTCGCCTAGTCGAGAAGGAAATCTGACTTTTGAGTTGGGGGAGTAGGGATGAATCTTAGGAAGTTCTAATTTATGGAATACAGAGAAAACCTAGAGAGCCCGCCAGCCAGAATGCGTGAGGCAGGCTGAGGCTATCCACACAAACTTAAGGCAAATACCCCAAGTATGATTATTACGAGGTTGCCCCAATTCCTGCGACGTCAAGAAAAGCCACCAGCTCTGTACCGTGCCTCTTGCTTATGAAAACGCGGGCCACAGAGCTGGCTCAGCGGCTAACTCTAGGCTATGAGAAGGATGCTCAAAGACACACACGGGCACTCCTTTCAGGGGATGCCATGGCGTTCAGCTAATGGCAAAACTTGATCAACACGTCTTAGGTGGATGGACACGCGCTCGTGTGGGCTCCCCCAGCACATGAGCACTTTACATCTAAATGCAGAGAGATGGTCCGTTCATGGGCACAAGCCCCAGTGAAGCCCAGGGCAATTTTAGAGGAGGAAGAAGAAACCACCCCGAAGGGGTGCTCTGTTAGCCCGCCCACCGCCACGGTGCTCCCTCTGGCCTCAACGTACCTTTTTCAGCTCGTCCTTCTCCTTGGTATGAGTATCCTCCAGGATCTTGCGCTCTGAGTGGGCCCTCTGCAGCTCAGCCCGCAGGCTCTCGACCACCTCCTGCAGCCTCGGGCTGCTGTCCCCGCTGTGGCCCTGCTGGTAGCGGGCCAGCTCCTTCTTCAGCTTCTCTACCTCCATGGTGTGCGTGGAGGTGACCGCCGACAGCTGCTCCGACAGCGTCCTGAACTCTTTGTTCTGTGAGAGCCCCGGCAGAGGAGGAGAGGGGAGAAAGAGTGGAGAGCAAGGTTATAGAGGCAGGCAGCAACCACGAATTAAGGAAGCAATTAAGGAAGGAGCTTCCAACATGGAATTCGAGTTCGCAATCACGGCACGCTTGAGCGCTCTCCTGGCATCCCCTGGCAGAACTCTGCTGGGAACCTGGGGCAAGAGAGGGAAAGAAAGAACCACTGAAGGGACGTTCAAGAAGTGTCCGTGAGCAGTGGCACAGCCGGAAGCTGGCTGACGGCGGTCAGTCTTCTGTGTGTGGCTGGACAGATCTCATAGCCCATTTTTAAATTGTGGGAACAATTTAATAGCTGGCTTTCCAGATCTGCAGCCTTTGCTTTTCAGGTTTTCGTGGTCTTTCACAAGGGGCCCTCCCGCCCTTGGACTCGCTGACACAAAACGCTGCAACCTAATCGCTAGCTCTGAGACAAAGGACCCCTTCAGCATCCCCTCTTCCAAGGAGGCCCTCCATGGGGCCGAGGGATCCTTCTCACCACCTGTCAGCTCGCCCTGGCAGACTCTGACGCCACACATGGAGGCCCCAGCAGATTCTGCCCATGCTGTGCCCCCGCGGACTGGGCACGCAGACCAACAACAGGCAAGCGAGCAGCCCCCCAGCGTGCCCGGTGCCGATTTGGAAGGGGACAGCACCCCAGATGGGCTCACACAGAGGGAGCACGGAGGACCCAGAACCAGTGTCAACCGCTCGTGTCAACACAGGCAAAACCTCATGCTCAGGAGGTGAGAGGAGCAGCTGAGAGTGGCCAGTGGGGAGAGGGAAGAAGGGGTTCTCCAAGTTAAGCAACAGATTGCCACTCGTTATACTTCATTGGCTGCCCTCTGGGGGAGCTCCTAGTAGACCAGAGATGTTGGCTGAAACACCAGTAAGCTGGGGAATCAGGAATCAATGACTGATTCACATCAGGAATAAAGCCTCACGGAAAAGCTGTGCAGAGTAGCAGAACAGCAGCTGGCGGACCCCAGAGGGCACCATGCCTGCTGGGGAACCTCCAGCCCAAGACCTGCTGTGGGAGTTCAAGCAGAGCGTGGTCTGCTTTGAGACTACAGAGAGAGAGCTCCTCCTACAGTCCAGGCACACCTTTGGTTACAGCCTGCATGCCCCTATGTCTGGCAGCCAGCCTTGCTGGAAGTAATCACAAGAAATCCGGTTAGGGGTCATCTGTTGAGAAAACTCAGTCCTGTCTGTACCTCCCACCCCAACCCTGGCCTGGGTCCCCCGTCCCGGAGGCTGAAGGGTCCCTGCCCAAGGAGTGGGTTCAGGGAGAAGACAAGTCAGGTCAACTTTTCCCCACTCGGGCTGGGAGTGGAGTGTCACCTCCAGGTGGCACACCTGGGTCACATCACCGGGAGAGTGGTGCAGAGGACTGGGCTGTGGGTGTTTCTAGCTGGAGCTAGTGTGGGATATGGAAGGAGGCACAAAATGTGGTGGTGGACAGGGGCACAGGCACAGCCTGCTCCTCTGGAAGAATGTCAGGGGGAACTATGTTCTGCAGACAGGCAGATAATGGCACCCTACTATGAATACAGAGGACAACCTAGGACCCTCATGCAAAGAAAATGTGTTCTTCTGGCAGGCTAGCTCTTTGTGGCTTCTGACACCCAGGTGGACACAGGACTCAGGACATCAAGGAGGTAAGAGTGGCTGGAGGTGGACAGACCTGTGTTCCTATGCCAGCTCTACCCTTGATCAGCTGTGTATGTCTGATCAGGTCCTTCCACCTCTCTGTGCCCTAGTTCCCTTGTGTGTGCAAGGTGGACTTAAAGTAAGTCTTTCCTTGGACTTTTTATCCAGATGCAGGGAGATCTAGTGTTTCGCCGGTGCTTGGCACATAGTAAGTGTCCAATAAACAGGGGCTGTCGCCTTCGCTCAGTTCTGCAGGGAGTCCCGGGCAGAGGAGTTCTGAACACTCTGCTGGCCCCCGGAGGTGGTGGGGAGACTCCTAACAGCAGCACCTGGCCAGCTCCTTACTTCATCGGCAGCATCCAAAAATAATCACTGGGGACTCACTGCAGCTGCACAGTCCATGTCCCGGAGATACGATTTCAGAAAGGAAGACCCCAGAAGAGCCCAGCAGATCCCCCTCTTATCACGCCCTGATGTCCATGTCAGGTGCTCACAGCTGTGCAGCTAAGCCTGACATGGCGGGTGGTGTCACGCACCTTCTCCCTTACAGATCCCAGAAACCCTCCGCGCAATGGCAGGCTGAGCTCCTCAGGGCTGCCTTTGTTGGTGTGACCGGGAGACCTGGCCTGCTCTGTCCTGCACAGCGAGGGCCTGTTCCTAACAGCAGGGCGTGGGGATTTCCAGATAGACCCCTATTCTCCTTCAGCCTCCTCAAACATCCTAAGAGCATGTTCACTGTGCCCCTACCACTGAAGGACACAGATCTGTCCTCAACTGCCAACAAGAACCTGTCTGCTGTTCATTACTTTCTCAAAAGCTCATATTTTTTTTCCTCTCAAAGATTTGCTTGGTAAGATTTTTTTGTGCTTGAAATGTTTCCCCACCTGAAGGAGATGGCATTCACCTGTTCCTCTGGTCCATGGTCCTAAGCACTCTGCTGGGCCTCTATAGCACTTTTGTATGAACCAAGAAATTCACCACCTCCAGGAGGATGAACTCCACAGAGCTGCCTCTCTGGGGGAACATGGGCCCAGGGGTGCACAGCTTAGAACAGTGGACACCTCTTCCTTAGGGCAGCAATGCTCCAGAGCTCACAGTCAGATGAGCAGAGCAGAGGATGGTCTTCAGCCCTATGTGTCCCCACAGCCAACCACCCTTGCGCAGTGTACAACCTGCAGAACTGTATGGAAGAGGTTTCAAGTAGTTCCCAATCAATGGTCTACAGACCCCTAGGGAAGGGGGTGAGCGAATCATTGCAAGACTGCATCATGAAAAGTAATATGATCCACACATGCTACTAGCGCTTCCTGGGTGCTTACTATGGGGCTGGCACTGTACTACATAATTCATACATACACCAACTCATTCACTCCTGAATATCCTAGGTAGTGAGAATGATTAAAATCCCCATTTCAGTTAAGGAAAATGAGGCACTGGAGGTCATAAAGCTGCAAATTATACTATTTTTCAAATATATTTGGATGCTCTTGTGAATCAAAATATCGACTAATTTTACATATCTACTGAGTGCATATAAAGCATATTGAGTCAATCTGATTTAAAAGGCTACCGATTAAATCCATAGAATGCTCTCATGCTTTTTCTGACAAAATATTTAAATACAGCATTGTACTCATAAAGGTCTAATAAACTTGACCCTCATTATAAGAGAAATGGTAGACTCAACTGGCCTGGTCATTCTACATGTTGTGCTTGAATAAAGCCAGAATGATAGAAAACCAAGTTCACTGGCTACATCATTTTGGATGAAACATGTCACAGCACAGGCCTACATCAGGGGCACTGTAAGAAATGGTCCCAGGAACTGTCACTGTATTTACTGCTGAAAGATATTATGAAGGATGATGTGTCTTACGATACACAGATGACGAAAACCGCAGGAAAGACGTCTCAGCACCAGGGACAGCTCCAAGCCTCCTAAACTGTTCTCTGACCACTGAAGTAAGACCCCAATTTCCTTTTTTCTGTTTGCTTGGGAACTTGGTGCCAGTTTTGTGTCTTGTCACTTTAGCTAGGTTCACAAAGCCTTAGACATGAATTTTGGTGCTAAGCTTACCCTGGCTTTATTCTTTAGTTTCCTCCTTTGCTGACCTCTTGGCAGTGGGGACACCTCTTAAAAAAAAAAAAAACAAAAACAAAACTTCCCCCAGGTAATCCTACAGTGCAGTGCAGCCTGGAGTTGGAAGCACTGCTTGATCCACATCATGGTATCCATGAATTTTTGAGCTAGAAGTTACTTTAGAAATCTTGGGCTCATCTCTTTGAAAGAACTCAAGGCCCAGGTATAGATTCGGCTGCAGTCCCAAGCTGTCAGGTCTGGTTGCAAGTATAATGGAGACAGAACTCAGGCTTCTATCCAGCTGGGACTTTGTCCACTACCCCATGCTGTTCTGACAAGTACTTTGGGATGCTTCTGCCTAGCCTCTCCTTCTGGCTTAAGAACCTTGCGTGTCAGGAAAGCAGTGACCAGAGTTGTCTCCAAGGCATGACAGAACAGAAGAACATTCAATTCCAAATGGCTAGCCCCACCAAGCATCTCTGAGGACCTGGGGGGCCAAGACCATGCCGGTGGTCATGCTGGCGCCTCCTCGCATGACAGCGCACGTCCTTTGACGGTAGATCCCACAGCCCTCTGTAAAAGGCCAACTGGTCCAAGGACGACGCCATCTCTATGCAAAGGAACCCAAAACAAAACTGAGTCTTCCTTGGATTGAGGAATTCTCCCATGTCCAGAGAGTCTCCAAACGTGCAGGTAGCCTACATTTGGTTGGAGGGGGCAGCATGTTCTCTGGAACCAGACTGCCAGGTTTCAATCCCAGCCATGCTACTGCCCAGCGTGTGGGCTTGGGTGGACTGCCTACCTCTGTGCCTCAGTTTAAAGTGGGAGCATTATCATCTCAACAGGCCACGGTGAGGATTAAAGAAATGAACATATGAGGACGGTGCCTGGTGCATATATCCAGGCATTGCGGGGAGGGGTACCAGGAAGCAAGCTCTAATCCCACCCTCCTGCCTCTTCTGCTCACCCTCTGCACAGAGGGCACCCCACCCGGGGTAGAGAGCACCTGCCACCACTCACAGATGTTTGCCAAGCAGGAAGCTTAAGGCAAAATCTCTTTTTAAAAATAGGCCTTTTAAATCTGCTTCTCTTTGATGTTCTAGCACGTGGGTTGTAAAATATCAGATTTATTTTTAACCTCTCAAGTTAACTTCAGAAGTCAGCAAAGCCAACACAGGGCCCAGCAGCTGGAAACCGAGGCTGCGGCGGCCAGGCAGCGTGTGGGGCTCCTGGCAGGGGTCCCTCCGAGTACACTGTACTCAGTCCCTCCAACTAAACTGGGAAGTTTTGACTCTACAAATATCTTCCATGGTCCTTTGTCAATGGCCACAATAACAACAACAATAATAATACCTAGGTCCTCCCTGGACTTGGCGTTTTTCAAATGGCCAATCCTTCCCGCTCCTGTCCCCTGGGCAGCTGTGCCTCCCACCCCAATTAGGCGCTGTCATCGCGGGGTGAGCAGGGGGGCAGGTACCCAGTGTCTCCCAGCCCCACATTGAGCTTCCCCACTAAGGATCCCAGCCAACAAGACACCCTGTGGAACTCACACAGGGAACACCAACACCCAGGACAGCACTTCTTCCTGGGAAGCCCAGTCTTTCACAAAAGCAGAGATGCAGGAACATTTTACTATGCTCTGGGCACTGCTTCTGGGCTGCTGTCTGGGGCAGGTGGTTTAGGTATAAAATGGCTTATTTATGTTCTTGCCCCTACTGGGGTTACGTGAAGCTTCCCAACTGTCTCACCGAGAACAGACGCGATACAATGGAGTGACCTCCGGGGCCATGCCTGCTGACTCTAACTCGAATTCTGTCTCCATGCTACGCAGCCTGCTCCTGCATTCTTTGTGTTCTCTCCTCTCCTTTCCTTTCTCAGGAAGCACCTGAAGCCCTCGAGGGCACTGCAGAAGCCTCCTCCTCTGGTTATCTTGCCACCCTGCATGAGCAAAGTGGCCGTGAGCCTGCTTTCAAGGCTAGGAACCCATCTTGGCAAGGACAAGGCCCAGGGAAGCGCTCACAGTTTAATGATGTTTGGGCGTAAAAAAACAAACAAAACAACCTAGTATCATCCTCTTTCTGGCTGTGGGATCAGAGAGAAGGCAGCTGGAATGCTGACTCTAGAATTTTCTAATTCTGTGACCTCAGCCCGGTACTTGATGTCCCAGATCCACCATTTCCTCATCTGTGAAGTGACCTCACAAAGCCACTGGGGACCAAAGGAGAGTGAACATAAAATGCCTGTCACGGGGCACGGCATGTGGGGGTGCGCAGGATGTCATTGGGGGGGAAGTGCTGTTGGCCACACTGGCAGAAGATGGTCCCCTTGTAACACAGCATCGATGTGCGTCGGATTCATCCTCTGCTTGCCGCGCGTAACAGAGCACCAGCAGTGGTCAAGCACCAGATAAAGTTCCCAAGAGGAGGATGAAGGAAGGCTGGCCACTGGAGCCACCAAAGAGCAGGCGTACACGCCTGTGTGCATAGAGGCCTGCCTCATCTTTCCAACCTGGTCGTGGGTACCCAGCGTCCTGTGCTTGGTTCGGATTCCCTGCAGTGCCCTGCACATACTCCACACTCACAGGGACCTGACCAGTGAGCTGTCACTTGTGTGACTGGTGGAGAAGGTGGCCATGGTAGGAAAAGGAAGAAGCAGGAACAGAAGAGTGGTAAGCACCTCCTGAGCTCCCCAGGGCAACCAGACCCTTGGTGCATGTTCAATCACTTGCTCATCTTATAGCCCTAGCAGCCCCATTTTATGGATAAGAAAACTGAGGCTCAGAGGGGGAATCAAGTCACTTGACTTTAAAGCAGCAGCAGAGCTGAATTTGAATTAGAATCTTTCTGATTCCAAAGCAAGTTTTCTTCCCACCACACAGCACAACAGAGGTAGAAGAGCAGAGTGTGGGCTCTAGAGCCAGACCGGTGGGGTTCGGATCGTAGCCTTGCCACTGTCGCTCATGTGACCCTCGCCTGTAAAGAGAGGAGGATGACACTATTTCCCTTCTGGGGCTGCTGTGAGGATTAAACAGGCTAAGAGAGACGAAGCACTAGGACGGTGCCTGGTGTTCAGCGAGCCCTCCCCAAAAGTCCGCTCTCATTACCACCCCAGGCTGCCTCCACCAGGGCAGGAGACCATGACTCTGGGCGAGTGTAGCTGCTTCCTCTTGCTGCTGCCACAAACTACCATTAAGTCAGCAATATAAATCTATGGAAACACTACAAACCTTCTGACCTTACAGTTCTGGAGGTCAGAAGTCTCAATGGGTCAGAGCAGGGCTGTGATCCTCCTCGAGGCTCCAGCAGGTAACCCCAGTCCTGCCTGTTGTAGCTCCCAGAGGTGCCTGCGTCCTTGGCTCACGGCCCTGCCTCACGCCAACCTCTGCCACCACCTCTCTTCCAAATCTGACCCTCTCGCCTCCCTCCCACGAGCATCCTTGTGAGGTCCACGCAAATAATCGGGGCTCATCTCCCCATCACAAGACTCTTCACTCTATCACCTCTGCTAAGTTCCACTTGCATGTGAGGTCACACAGTCACAGGCCTCAGGGATCACGATGCAAACATCTTGGCGGGGGTGGGCATTATTCTGTCTGCCATAGTCGGTGGCCATTCTTGCTGACTGGGGTGACACCCTCAGGACATCTGTGCTTCCTCAGGTCCCTGGTGAACTCAGTTCCCTGGGGAGTTCTCTCAAACATGCCCCCCAGGGTGTCCCCCACCCCGGGTAGGGAGCTCCGGCTGCTGACCTGGTCATCAATTTTCCGCTGCAGCTGGACCACCTTGTTCTCCATGCCCACGTTGAGGCGTTTCAGGTGCTCTGCGGAGCGGGCCTCGATCTTGAGGGCCTTCAGCTCCTGCTTGGCCTTGAGCATCCGGAAGGCGCACTGGATGACGATGGCCGCACCCCGCAGTCGCCCAAAGCGCCTGCGTGCCATCCAGCCCCGCACGTGCTTCTGGAGGACGGTGGCCTTATGCTCCATGAGGACCTGGTGGGGGACAAGCACACACCTGCTGGGTTTACACGGCAGGAAGAGGGGAGGCTCCTGCACGGCCCAGAGGAAGGGAGAGCCAAGGCCGGCCTGGGTTTTAGGAGATAAATAGAAAATACTCCTCCCTAAGACACAAGGCTCCAGGGGCCATTTGTGGTAAGAACCAGTTTTAACGAACTTCTGTAGCAGTCCACATACCTGCAGAGAATCAGCTGTTGAACTCTTGTTTTTAGTTTGTTTTCTGTTTTACTGGTCAGGGAACCACAGGGTAAAAAACCCCCAAGTTGGAGGGGCTGAGATGAACCGTGCTGATAACGCCCCATTCAGCAGATTCTGATCCCCGCCTGGTAACACTGAGCCAGAGAGATGAATGGGATTCTCTAGTCAGAGCCCATTAATGAGCCACAGACTTAGGGTTAACAAACTTGGCTTGGCAATCTTTTTCCTATGAGGTTAAAGATCGCTTGGAAAGCAAAAGCATCATTGCTGTGTCCACATCGCTATGTCAACATAGCATTTTATGTTATTTTATTTTACCCCGCAAAATAAATGTTCGTGGCATAAATGAATAAACGAGCAGACATGCCCAGTATGCCAGCTCTAGGAGAGCGCCAGGGTTCAAACCTTGTGTCCCTCATGTGTTGCCTGCCCCTTCCCTGATGACATCACACAGAAGTCACCAATCTCCCAGGAAAGCTCACAGAATGGGGCCCACTGACGAGGGTGTGCCCTACCCTGCTGTCTGACCACGTTCGGTTTTTCATATTCCCTTCAGTGTTTGAGTTTTATTTAGAAAATCAAGCCTCCTCTGATCACAGAAGAGAGAAATGTTCCTTTTAGGAGCAAAGCGTATTTTTGACATTTCCTTCCAATCCATCTTCTGTCTCAGCTTTGAGCATCAGCTGTATGGGGGTGAGACAGCAGGATGGATATGCCCCGAGTCCTTCAGCTTCGCTGGAATAATGGCCTGGCACGGAGGCCAGGGTCCCCCTCCCCTGACCTCACCTCACCAAGCTTAGGCTCCTAACTCATCGAATGAGGGGGTAAGACCTGACGATGCCCACTATCGCCCCCCGCTCTCACGTCTGAGTGAGTCCAACACAGGTCACCAGGCTCTGCCACTGGCTGACCGAGTACCCCTGGGCAGGTGACAGCTTCCCCAAGCAGCTCAGCTGTCCAAGGGGCACAACGATGTGCACCCATCCTACCCATGATGGTTATGGTCACACCTTGACTTGACTGATCTCAGGGTGCCCAGATTAAACACTCTTTGGGTGTGTCTGTGGGGTGTTTCTAGATGAGAGGAGCATTTGAGTCAGTGCACTCCCCTCCCCAAGGTGGGAGGGCATCATCTCTCAGGGCCTGAGGAGAACAAAGGGCAGAGGAAGGAGGAATTCGTTCCTTTTCTCCTGCCTCACTGCTTGAATTAGGACATCTCATCTCATTTTTTCCTGCCCTCGGATAGAGATTCACACCATCCTCCTTCCTGGGTCTCAGGCCTTCAGACTTGGACTGTATGACATCACTGGCTTTCCTGGACTTCCAGCTGGTGGACGGCCGACTGTGGGACTTCCCGGCCTCCATAACTGTGGGGAATTTCCTGAGAATCTCCACATATGTATACACACACACGCGCGCGCACACTTGCACGTCTCCTATGGGTTCCATGTCTCTGGAAAACCCTAATACAACACACCTCATGGCTGGAAGCAAAGGTGTGAAATCACTTAGAAGAAATTTAGGAGCAGCCTACAAATGTTTGTAGTGGTGACAATGTATTTGTTGCTGCTTTAGTTCACTCTTTAAAAAAGATCTTATTTACGCATTTTTCAGAGAGAGCCAGCAGGAGCATTAGTGGGGGGAGGGGCAGAAGGAGCAGCAGACTCCCGGAGGAAGATCCCAGGCCCCGGGGTCAGGACCCGGCGCTGGTCCTCAGCCAGCCACCTGCAAGTCCCCGGGGCGGCTACCCACCTGCCGGTAGCTTCTCCGCACCAGCATGCCGCGGGTGAAGGCCTGGATGACGACAGCGGCCCTGCGCGCCCTCTGGTAGGCCACGCGGGTCCTCCGCATGCGGTACTGCTTCTGGAACATGACGGCCGCTCGGGTCCTCCGCAGCTGCTCCGCTAGCCTGGGGAGGGAGCAGACGGGCGGCCCCCACTGAGGCAGGCCTCGTGGCCCTTTGAACTCGAGCCTCTCCCCATTCAGCCCCGCCAGCTGGAACCACTCTGACAGGATGCAGCAACACCGCGGCCCCTGAAGCTCAGGCTCTCGACAGCAGAACGAGCTTCCTCCATGTGGTCTCAGGAGTCGGAGTGTTACCAGCTCCATGATCCCCATCTGCTCCCTCACCTGCCACGAGCCCCTCACTCCAACCTGAGCAGCCCCTGATGACGCTGCGTGTTTATGCTGCTCTCTGTCCCCCATATCCCCACGAGCCATGAGTTGAAAGCTGGAAAAACCCTCCAAAATCATCTAGCAGAGCCCCAGAGGAGGAAGGAGCCCCCCAGCTGCACTCTGCCTGCTGAAGGGAGTCGGTGCTGGGCCGGGGCGCTGGGCTTGGGCTAGACCGGGGCACTGGGCTGGGGTTCTGGGTGGGGGCACTGGGCTTCGGCTAGGCCGGGGCATTGGGCTAGGGTGCTGGGCCAGGACACTGGGCTGGGGTGCTGGGAGGGGGCACTGGGCTTGGGCTAGGCCGGGCCGCTGGACTGGCATCCAGGCTCCGCCCTGGGTAGTTGTAGGTGTTCAGACAAGTCACACCCTCAGCACCGGCTCCACTGAACGACTCTTAAACAGGACCTCCAGAGATCTTTCCAGCTCTAATTACCAAATTGGCAAGATGTTTGGAAACTGGTGCTACAAATCATGAAGATGAGTGGAAGCTATGAAAGGCGGAATTTGTCTTTTTCTAAAAGATTACCTTGGGATTTAGGCAAAGGGGAAATGGTGGCTTTGTGGCAAATGCAGCCAGTCCTAGGTTAGTGCTGGCAGGATGGGGACAGACTGGGGAACCGAGAGACTTGGAACTAGACTTATTCCCTCAGGTGAGAAGGGCACGGGACACAGGTGCCCAGTTCCTGGGAGAAAGCTGGGGTGCAGACAGAACCACTCTAACTAGGCTGAGAGAGGCCAACCAGCTAAGCCTCCCCACCCTCCATCCCTCACTCTGCTCTCCAGATGTGCCCCAGCTCAGCTCACCTGCGGGCCAGGTGTCCTCGGCAGAACCTCTGCAGAGTTAAGGTAGCTGCCTTCAACCTGCGGTATTTCACCTTCTGTAGCCAGCCGCGGACTGTCTTCTGGATCATGATGGTGGCTGCCCGGAACTTGTCGGCGCGAAGCTTCTCTAGGTAGGCCACCTGGCCTGCCCGGAAGAAGATCTTGGTGCGGCCAAACTGGAACTTGTCAGGATCCTTTACGAGGCAAGGAGGGGAGCACCAGTGAGGCAACACACCTTACCACCCGGGTTCTTCGGGGCAGAATTCCCTTGCCAGAGCTCGTGTACCCCTGCTCTTGGATGCATGCTCACTCTTAGCATCCACTGAGCAGGCTAAGTCCCTTCTGTTAGACTCAGGGTGCTAAGGTATCCAGGGTGCAGCAGGGAGCAAGAAGTCTGCACTCAACCAACTGACATCATGGTGAGAGCAGAAGACAGCAAAGGCTGAGTAAGTTTTCAGGGAGTGGTGAAGATTACAAAGACAATAAAACTGGGGACTTTATAGGTGGGATGGGGATGTTTAAATAGGATAATCCAGGAAGGCAGTTCTCTGGAAATGATATCTGAACAAAAACCTGAATAAACTCAAGGAGGCAGCCTCGGGAAAACGTAGAAGAAAGTTTCAGGAGATGAGCAAAGCAGATGCAAATGTCCTGTGGCAGCCAAAAGCGAGGTGTGTTTGAGGAACAGGACAGCCAGGGTGGTTAAGCGTTGGGGAAATGAGGGAGGCTGGCAGGAGAAGCTAATTGCCAGAGGCCTTGCAGGCCACAGCACACAACTGAGATGCAGAGCCCCTGGTGGTGCTCTGAGCATGGAAATAACCTGCTCGGGTCATTTAAAAAAGATTATCCTCAAACAACCACCCTGTTGTATGCATAATTCCAGATTGCAAATAACCTTCCAAATTTTTGAATTCAGACTATTTTGAGATATTTTTGACATATAATTACTGTCTTATTTATTTAGGTTCAAATTAATTACCCTTCCTCGTGCTCAACCCCATGGATAAGGAACGATGACCCACCAGTGTGCTCATGCACAAGCCTGGGATAGAACCCTTGAGAGTTAACCCACTGTAATTGTGTACCCTTTGTAAATAAACTTCCTACTTTTATTCACTGGCATGGAGACCATAAGGAAGAAGGAGCTAAGGTCTAAAGAAAACACACACACGGGAACATGTTTCAGGTTGACCAATGGCTCTGCACTAATGCTGAATCACTACTCTGTATGGGCTCCTTGCTCCGGGACGATGGGGCTGCCTAAGCTGTCTCTGATGGTCTCCTTCACAGCCAGGCTGCAGGTGAAGCTGGGAGGGGCGAGGTATGGGCCTGGCTCTCATCCCTGCCTCTGCTCAGGGCCGTGCACCTAAAGGGCCCCAGCAGATGCTATGAGGAACAGGGCTGGATCAGGGTGGGAAGCCTCCAGGCAGCCAAGGTCCTGCCCTCCTCACCGCCCTGCTGGCAGGGCCGCTTCTCTGTGGAGCAGGGCCGGGGAGCAACGGGTGGGCAGCTCTGTCCTCGCAGTCAGAACAAAGCCGGGCCGCTCAGGCTTCCACTGTGCCAAGGCCGGGGGAGCCTGGTGCACCCCGGGAACCAGAGTACACACGTTTATTTCCTAGTCTGGAAAAGCCACCAGGAAGGGTGTGATCTGGTCGTGAAGCCACTGTTTTCACAAATAAGGATCCTTCTGAAAGTTCCACCATGGTAACCAGTCACCATTAGCCCGATTGCCACGCTCGCTCAGCGCCTGCGTCCTGAGCACACGCCCTACCCCAGATCTGCTTGCTCTAACCCCGAGAGCGTGCGGACTCCACTACTCACATACCAGGCCATCAGGGCTCCTCTCCTGAGAAGCTTCTCCCACAATCCCAGACTGAAGGAGGAGAAAGGAATCTCAGCAACCGTCCCAAGCCACCCTTTTTATTTCACAGACGGCAAAACCAGCGTCTGCAGTGGTGAAGTGACTTGTTCAAGGTTTTGCTGGAAATACCGAGCCCCAGGAGTCCTGGGCAGCAGTCTCTCACGGCGCCAGGCCCCTTTTGTGACCCAGTCTGGTCTTCACACACTCACAGACGGAGTTCCCTGTGCTCCCGGGGTTCCCTGGCAGTCCTTGCTAGTAAGACTCTGCTCCCCTGTCACGATCAAGCTTCAGGCCCCCACGATCAGATTCCCTCCAGCGAGGTCTACAATCGCGTCCAGGATCAGTGGTCCCAGAGGGCAGGTGCACGCATTGTGCTCTTCCGCTGGGGGCCTCCCAGCCACCACTCCAGGTTAGAGCACATAAAGAATGCAGTACATCACGGTGGGATTAAAGAACCAACTCACACTGAGGATGAAGGCTGTTCACACAGTCCTTGCGGGAGGAGACCAGCCCTCATGAACCACCCCATGAAGCAGCCCCCGGGGCCCCCTCCCACGGACGAGGCTGTAGGCACCTGCTGCCCGGCCCCCACACCACCGGCTTCTTTCCTAACGACTGTGTTCTAAAAGGCAATGGCACTTGCTTGGGGCTGGCAGGGGCCCTTCTAGGCTGCCGTGTGGCTTCACCATAGCAGCACCGGCGACTAGAAGACATGGCCCTGAAAAGGGGTGGGGGAAACAGACGAAATATGAGGTCTGTGGAAAAGTCCTGAAGCACTGATCCTGAGTCCTTCTCCAGAGAGGATAATTACGGGCGGTGGCATTCATTGCTTAGACTGGCTCAAGGGGCACGGCGACCCAGGGTAGTTTGCGGGGGGTGGGGATGTGTCGCGTCGGTGTATGTGTAACACCCTGGGCAGTCTTTACCAGCTTTTCACTCCTTAGTTCCCTCATCTGTAAAACGGGGAAATGATGCCTGTACCTTCCTCACGAGGCACCGTGAGGATCAGCTGAGGCAGGTGCGTGAGGCAGCCGGGAAAGTGACCCCCGGGGGCTTTACCCACAAGCCGCCGCTGCAGGTGACAGTCGCCACAGGCCCGCCTAGCCGGTCGCCCGCGCGGCCCCCAGCACGAACCCCGAGCCCCCGTGAGAACCAGTAACAGCACCAGGAACACAAAGACAACAGGATCCCTGCCATTTCAGGGTTCCCGGTCCAGGGAAATGACAAACTCTTGATTGCAAGACAAGGGGACAGATGCAGTGATAGGACAGAGAGAGAGCACTGTTGGCCCATAAAGGTAGGGGCCACAGACTCCGACTGGGAGGTCAGAACCGGCTTCACAGTCTAGAAGGCGTGCTAAGAGCCCATCTGGGAAGGAGGGAAGAACCTAGGAAGACCAACAGAAGAGGAGAAAGGCCTTTTAGCCAAAGGAAACAGCTCACGCTCATGTAATTTTTCATTAGGGAATTCACTTAGTTCATCCATTCTACCATATGTTCCTTCTGTGTTGGGCTCGGTGCTTCCAGCTAGGGGCTGGGGGCATTAACACAAGGGTTGTCCTTGGCAATAAAGGATCTACGTGTCTCCAAACAGGGCACCACGCCCCATGCTTCTGGTGAGCCTTAGACTACCGGTAGTTCAGTCTCAGGAAGCCCTAAGGTATACGCGGATTTTCTACTGCAGTGGGATGGGGGTAGTGGTACCCCTAATGCCCACATTGTCTGTGGGTGAGCTGTACTGGGAATTTGCCATTTTTTGGATGTAGTTCTCTCCGTTACACTACATTCTGAAAGGGAAGGAGTTTGTCGTACCCTTTACTGAGACCACCTGGGCCATGCCCTGCTGCAACCCCGGAATACGGTGGAGCTGGTATTTCAGATCTGTCCCGCCAAGAGTCCACAAAGAAGCTCCAGAATCAAGACTCGGGTTTGAGTTCGGGGTGTTGTAGCTGCAGCCTTTGCCTTATTTACAACAAGCGTCTGGGGGAAGGTCTGAGGCCAGTTAGGCAGTGAGAAGGTATGAGAAGTGCACCTGTTTTCCCAACCGCTGAGGAAAGCTGTGCCTGGGCTACAGACTGGAGCCCCTGGGCGGCTGCGTGGTGTGGGCAGGGGCACGGCGGGCAGATCTACAGAGCCTCGGGCTTTGGAGAAGCCAGAGTCCTGGGCCAGCAGCAAACCCCAAGGGGTTGTGCAAACATTTTTTCTTTTCTACATGTGTAGAGATGTGAAAAAAGATAGGAAGTACTCTATATACATGAAGGGACTTCTCTTTTACAGTTGCTGATGTTGGGAAACAGACAAACACCTCAAACAGTTTTAAGAGGAAGGATGAAGACCAGAGCACGCTGTTAAGCCCCCACTCCCCAGTTCTCTGGGCATTCCGGGTAAGCCTCCAGGGGCAAGCCTAGCTCACCTTGATGAGGTTCTCCAGGACAGACCTGCAGATGGCCTTTTTGTCTGTGTTGGCGAGCTCTCTCTTCTTGACCAGCACTCGATACCGGTTGAAGAAGTCATGGTAAGCCCACCTGGAGGGAAAGCAGGTGCATCAGGCAACGTGTCCTGCCTCTCAGCCACACAAGGGCCGCGGGCCGTCACAGACCGCGCCTGCCCCTATGGGGTCACAACTCCCAGCACAAAGCTGTTCTCAGAGCAGCAAAAAACATTCCAGGGCCTCGTCTTCCTCCAGTCCCTCTGAGAATTTCAGTGTGTGGCTGAATTACATGATCACGAGTGGAAGAGGGAAAGGGAGGCTTCTGCAGATCGCTCTGGAAGGACTGACCGGAGGCAGAACAACTTACAGGGCTTCTGCCCACGCAGACGTGGGGCGCTCCACTACCCTCCTGGAGGAGGAAACTTGCCAGGAAGGCAGCCTGGTTTTTAAATGTTGGTTTTGTCTTACGACATTAATAGTTCTCATTGAAAACTTCAAAAAGTGCAGAAAAGCAAACATTAGCTGATAAAAAGCGATATTCTAACCCTAAGCAACAACACTGTTCACACAGTCTGGCATACCTTAGAAAGAACCCTTTTTCTTCCCAAAGGTGATTTCCCTTAGGAGTCCCCCACCCTGTTCATTAGAGAAATATGAGCCTGCTGTGAAGGAAATACTCAGCAACTCACATCAAAAACTAATAAAAATTGAAGAGCTCTTCTAGTCCCACTACCTTTTCAGTAAGTGTGCTCTGGTAGGTTCCAGAAGGGAATCTTCCAGAGGGCCTTATGTCTGTCCCTTGGCCTGTGAAGAGAGCTCTACTTAAACAAATGCAAGCTTTTCAATGAGTGAACTATTTCTAGTTCTAGAAAGGGGTCCAGCCCCTTTCCCTTCATACAGATGTTCACACTCTCTCTCCTGGCTCCTGACTTGGGATCGAGGGAGGCTCACAAACGCCTCAGGTCAGCACACATTCTGTTCCCGTGCTATGCTGCTCTACGGAGCCTCAGCTCCCAATCCAGACCCCTGTGACGGGGAAGCCGGCCCTCCAGCCCTCCCCTCACCCCATTCTGTGTCCTCAGCAGAGGTGCCCCATCAGCCCCCGCTCACCCCTTCGGAAGCACCAGGTGTGGCACACAGCCTGTCCCCAGGCACACGTGTGGTCCTCGTCGCCCACTTAAAAACCAGTCAGATGCTGCTTCAAGGTTGTGCATCTACCACTTACCATCACCTGGGGCCTCGCAGAGTGATGGTCTCTCATTCTAAAGTACTAACTGGGAGTAAATGGATTGAACCCCTTCTCCCGGAGCACGTTTGCCTTTAAGGGGTGGGGGGGTCCTCTAGAAATTTCATCCAAAAAAACTAAGCACTGGGGAATATTAGGTAGTCCTGGTGGGGGGGCACACCATGCGCCCAGGAGGCTGGTTCTTCCAGACTGCCTCTCCTTGCGCTCCACAACCACCCGCCAGTGTGGGCCTCGGGTCCCTCTTCCCTCCCAGGCCGTTTTCAGTGCCCTGCCCGGACTGAGCTCCTGCCTCTCCGTTACCTCAGTAACCACTTCCCTTGGTTTGGTGGAAATTTCTAACCTAGCGATGGGTGTCAGAGCGGGGAGCATAAAAGCAAGTGACAAAAAGCATTCTCATTTTTTTCCACTGTGTAAGATGGTTGCTTAGAAGTTACACTTTTTAACCAGCTTTATTGAGATAACTCACATACCATAAAATTTACTTTTAATTTGGAAAACAGACTTTAGTATATCTCTAAAGTCATGCAACCATACCGAGTACTGCATTCCAGAATATTCTCATAATCCCCCACCAAGCTCCCAGGCCCATTATCAGTCACTCCCCATTCTCCCCTCAGACCCTGGGGACCACTCATATCCTTCGTTTCTATGCTTCTTACCTTTTAATTAATCCTGTCACACAGGTAATGGTAGCCTCTATTCTGCTCAGAGCTGACTGGGCATTACATGGTCCCGCTCCCAGGCTCCCTGTGATGTGCGCAGGCTCCTTCAGGAGGAGGATAGAGAAGCGCTGGGAGCCCCCAAGGCCTCTGTTCCATGGCCTGGGGAAGAGTCCCGTCACCCACTGTGCTCCTGTGGCTTCCTGCCCCTCCAGTTGTGGGGAGACTATGAACCAAACCCACTGAAATCCGGGCCATCTCTAATAGGCGGCTTTAGGAAATGGAAACATTGAAGGTTATCTGCCCAACTGAAGGCTGCTTCTGTTATTCCAGTCATGTGCAATAAATGTCAAGAAAACTCCTGAGGTCTGACCGTCTTAATTTTGGAGGCTTGGGAGCAGAGCGAGAGGTGATAAGCCACACATCAGATGGGCGTTCTGTTTTTAAGGCACAGGAAGGCTACCGGGCTTCTCCAGAGCTCTTTCTGCCCCAACCCCTGAAACTTAAACACAGGCCATTCTCTCCACTGATATTTCCACGTCGGGTAAGATGCAAACAGAATGCCGGACACTGATAAAGGGCTTTGCAGGATCCAAGTCTTCTTGGTCCTCACGCCCAGCCGTCCACCAGTGGCTCCACCAAGCCACTGTTCCCGCCCACTCAGGGAGGCGTGGGCTCTCCCCCGAAGGCCGCTCAGCACTTTCTGGGTGACTTTCCGAGGGCACCTCCCCTCCCTGCAATAGTTATTTGTGTACTCGTCTTATTTCTCCCAACGAGTTTGCAATTTCTCCGGGGGAAATAATCAGAGCAGCATTTAGCTGGGCTAAAAACCTTAAATGGTTCTAATTTGAAGACTTCTTACTGCTGACAGTTCCAGAACTCAGGGAGGTTACGGGCTCAAGAAAATAAGACAGTAGGGAGATGCAACGGCACACATCCAGGCGGGTCCAGAACAAGGTTGGGGTACAGAAGCACGGAGGCCTCCTCCGACACAGCCCGGCCCTGTGACCTCAGGCAAGTCTTGGACTCGTCGCACGTGGAGCTCTCCGAAATGGAGAGACCACCCCCCACCTCACAAAGCACCTCCTGCATGGTGGGGGCTGAGGAGTTCATGCATGTGGAGTGCTTAGAAAGCTCCTCCCCCCCATCCAAGTGACCCTCCCCTTCCTGCCTGATCCCCACCCCTTTTCTTACAAAGGCTTCACTGCTCCAGGGTAGTACTGATGCAGGAGGAAGGCAGCAGCAGAAGCCAAGCCATTGGCTGTGGGGGCTGGGGGCAGGCTCTCCCTCTCAACTGCCCAAGGAGCAGACGGCCAGCACGGGAGCTGGGCGTGTATGAGTGCCCTTCAGCTGAGGGCCCAAAATCAAATGGGGATTCTCTATTCTGTGGGCCTCTGTGCATTTAGAGAGAAAGGCCTTGCAGGAAAGTCCCCATCATTTGTGAAGAGAAACCTCCCAAGTGAAGCTAATCAGAGTTTGTGATTGTTTTTCAAAAAAAAATCGAATTTCTTCACAGAACTTCCTGATTTGGTAGGGATATCTGGATGGAGATTTTTTGTGGCCATGTAAAAATTGGGGAAGACCCCTCTATAGGACCACAACGTGTCCAAGATTTCCCCCTGAAAAAATCCACAACCACAAATCTCTCCTTCCCGGAGCATTTTAATGATTCCCGTTTCCCTGTGGGATACAGAGCTTTATGCCTTCTCTAAAAACTAGCTTTTGTACATGTGTTAGCTTCTCTGCTCGACTCTAGCCTCCTCTGGCCGGGCTAGGATATATTTTTAAACTTCTCAGCACCTAACACGGTATCTTCCTACGTAGTTACTTACATTTTAAAAGAATGGATGTTTTCCTGACCAATAAAGAGGTTGGAATCCCAACGTTAGACCTTTTCATTCTACTAGTGTTTCTCAAAAAGGATACTATTGGCTTTGTAGCAGGATGATCCTTTTGTGCTCCAACGGACAAAGACCATTCCTTACCACGCCATTCCTTGCGATACACAAACATGTTTGCAAATATCTGCAGAATGTTTCCTATAGAACATAGTTCTAGTCCAGAAAACCACCATCTTGAGACCAACCAACCATGCCTGCCATCTTCCTCCACAGTCTAAGTCCACTGCTTCTGTTCGTGCTTTCCGCCCTCCTCAGGTGGCCCTGGACAGGTCCTCTCCCACTTACGCTACGGCTGTGTGACAGCCTGGACAGGTCTTTTAAGCCAGTCCTAGGCCTGGCTGCTCCTCCGTTCCGTATCACATTAACAGTGGGAGAAGAGGTCCCATTCTTAGTCTGTTACTAGGTCCCAGCTGTGGCCTCAGCCCTGGGTTACATGGAGTCCCAGCGGCCTCAGGGACAGAATGCACTCAGTCCCACTCTCCCTGGATTTGGACTCCCCGGCAAGGGGCTTGGCCGAATGTCCTGGACTTTAGTGCCATGCTTCCTGTGGAAACAAGGCCGCGTGCCCCCGGCCGGCTAGGGAGAAGTGCCCTCCTGGTAGTCACAGCTGGGTGTGGGGTAAAAGCCCAGGGCCTAGGATCACTCCTGGTGAGAATGGGGAGATCAGAGGCAGAGGCAAGGTCGGAAAGGTGCTTCCTTACAACAAGCTCCTCAGGCTTGAGACAGCGTGTGGTGAACACAGCTGCTGTGAGTGTGGAGCAAACACAGTAGGGTGACGTTCCGGTCGACTAAGTTGCTATCTAGAGCCCCATAACCATTTGCATGTGGGAACATTCTAGAGAACATGCCTCCCTGAGTGGTCCTCAGTGGATGGCTGCGAACAGATGGAGAACAGTCAAAGTGATCACACTGTGTACTTCCCTTCTCTTGGATAGATTCCCTCCTGCAGGATTGGCTGGAAAAACAAACTCTAAGAGTCCTCAGGAAGAACCCTTCAAGATGGCAGGTCAGGTTATCACGAGGGTGAAAACGGCGAGCACGTTTGCAATCTATCCGATAAGCAACTAGTACCTCGAAAATATAAAAAACTCCTACATCACCGAAGGGACAAATAACCCGGTTAAAAAAACGGACAAAAAAAAAAATCTGAATACATTTCTTCAAAGAGGATACACAGGGGCGCCTGGGTGGCTCAGTTGGTTGAGTGGCTGCCTTCGGCTCAGGTCATGATCTCAGGGTCCTGGGACCGAGCCCCGCATTGGGCTCTCTGCTCAGAAGGGAACCCGCT